GTATCCGCGCATCACATATTAGTCTAACTAATGTATGACTTTGGGTTTTCGAATGTATCAATTGATGCATGATTATAGCAAAGATTTAATTAAACTGTTATTAAAGAAAAAATCCCTAATAATAGTTTCACTATTCGGTGACTCTATCTGTCACTCTATATATCTATTGGGACCGCTTTACTATGGAGGAAACACAAGCAAAGTAAGGTGTCACAGTCAAACGAAAAACGAAACGTGACGTCACATGGAACATAAAGGAAAAATATATTTTTGAGCTCAGATGCAAGGTTTAGAGGTATGACTTCGACTATATTTAGTATCAATGTGAATTAACTGCGTGTAGATATAGCTTACATCCGGTTAAAATACCGAATCTGGAATAAAATCTGTTTTCAATTATATTTTTCAATAAAATCTGACCAGTAGCTTTTGACGATTATCTTTCCCCACTTATTGTATTGATATATATATATATATATATATATATATATATATATATATATATATATATATATATATATATATATATATATATAGTGGTAATATGACAAATGATCTCACGGTCAAAAGATATCAGGACAAATGAAGTAGAGTTCACCTGTTTCTCAGCATTTGAATGGATAGTGTGGTCAGAGCCATGCTCAGCCGAAATCTTTTTTTAAACGACCAAAACATGCTGTCTGAGACTTGGCGGGACACTGGGCAGGTGAAGTAGAGTTGGGTAGGTGCAGAAGTCACCTGTGACATCAGCATATGAAGGGATAGTGTGGTCAGATTCATTCCCTGTGGAAATCTGTGTTTCAAAAGACAAAATCATGTCTGAGTTGGCGGGACACTGAGCAGGTAAAGTAGAGTTGACCTGTTTTTGTGACCTCAGCATTTGAAGAGATTGTGTGGTAAGACAAATGCTCAGCCGAAATCGGTGTTTTTACAAGAAAAACGTCTTAGGTGTGACGTCTTTTTGAATGAAGGGTCTGGGGTTTTTTTGATGATAAGTGACAGACGTGATGTTATTTATGGATGACCGCTCAAATCCACAGTTATCCAAAGGATGACGGGTAGTCTAGTAGTATTTAAAATGACAAAGGTGTTTGAAAAATTGTCCACGTTAAAAGCTATTTTAAAACCAATTTCAAAATCCGTTATATACAAAAAATTAGGAGAAGAATGGAAATTAAATTTTACAATAGATCCTAGCTCAATCAGCTTAACTTTGTCAGACAGACGAACAGACAAACAGACGAACAGACAAACAGACGAACAGACGAATAGAAGAACAGACGAACAGTTGAACAGACGAACAGACGAACAGACGAACAGACGAACAGACGAACAGACGAACAAACGAACAGACGAACAGACGAACAGACGAACAGACAGATAAAGAGAAATGACCTATACGGTGTAAAATATTCCATTGATAGGGTATCGTAGGCTATGTGGGTGTCGTATTGCTTTCAAAAGTGTGGTAGAGTAGCCAAGAGGATGGAGTTTTAATGTGAGGTGGTTGAGGGTTGATTTATGTGTGAGGCGGGATAATGTTTGGTTTTCTTTGGAGTGTGTTATATAATTATGCCGTGAGGAAGTTCTATATTAATGTGATTGTCCTTTTAACTTACACGTATACAGAGTATAGGGGGATTATTGTAATCGTACTAAAGGATTAACATTAACAGATATTTGATTAACTAAAAATAATCTTAGACTTAATGGAAACAGGCGCGTCAGCTGGCATCTTAGTGGTCGTGTGATTTTCAGCAGGCCGCCTCCCATGTTAACACTATGGCGCTTATGTCCATGTTAAATTTCAAGAGCACCATAAAATAGGGAAATAGTAGGACACTACATTCAATGACTAAACTGAATTAGGAGCCTTAACTTGCGCCTTTGTGCAACCGAACATTTTTGGATTGTAAACTATAAATTGCAATTAGAACAACGAACTTTAAAAAAAAAAACACCAAGAGAAGAGATTAAAAGAAGAACTAAATTAAATTCAGATCCTAGGTCGATCAGCTTAACTTAACAGGCAAACAAAGATGTGTATATGGACAGACAAACAGACAGCCAGACAGAAAGGCAGACAGACAGACAGACAGACAGACAGACAGACAGACAGACAGACAGACAGACAGACAGACAGACAGACAGACAGACAGACAGACAGACAGACAGACAGACAGACAGACAGACAGACAGACAGACAGACAGACAGACAGACAGACAGACAGACAGACAGACAGACAGACAGGCAGGCAGGCAGGCAGGCAGGCAGGCAGGCAGGCAGGCAGGCAGGCAGGCAGGCAGGCAGGCAGACAGACAGACAGACAGACAGACAGACAGACAGACAGACAGACAGACAGACAGACAGACAGACAGACAGACAGACAGACAGACAGACAGACAGACAGACAGACAGACAGACAGACAGACAGACAGACAGACAGTCAGACAGACAGACAGGCAGGCAGGCAGGCAGGCAGGCACACTTTGAACCCATCCTTCATCACCCCTCACCATCTCCCCCCACCCCTCACCCCTACCCCTTTCTAGAAATCCTCTTCCTAAACATATTACCAGCCTCTCCCAACACGCACATCTCAATGTGAGGAATACCTTGAAATAGATCACCGCTGGTCAACATATGTTGACGTGGACATTGTGACCATTAGAGCACACTGAAGGAGGTCGGTAGTAATTACAGCGAGAAAACCAGTTGACATGATGAAAATATCTACAAGCTTATTTCTGATTTTGGTAGTCGCTTTAACCATGGGGTCTGAAGGTTAGAATCATACATTTTTTGACCTTACCACTAGCTGTAGAAAATGATATTGTCAGTGGGGTTTTTTTTTCACAAAAAAAGAGTTCCAATTTAAAAATTAACAATAGTAATAAACATGCATTTAGTTATAGAGTTGAGTAGCAGAATATAAAATACAAAGGAAAGATACTAAAATTAAGTAGAAACATAGCATTGTTTTGGTTATTAAAATGCATCTACCTGTTTTAAATTTGTCAAAAAACGTTACAAATGATGAAAACGTAATTTCTAAATAATTCAATTTAAATAATTTTGTAATTTATGTTTTAATTTAAAGATTCACAAATCATGTACGTCAGAATTGTAAAGTCAATCTTAAAGCATACGAGCACTTTACCTTATAAGTCTATTACCTCATAATTTATTAGCCACTTACCTCACTACCTATATGTATATCATCTTACTTTTAAACTACCATATACCCCACTATTTACCGGTTTGTTAACCCGTTACTACAATTCGCTGAGTATTGATAGTTGTCTATTGTTTTAGCAAAAGATAAAAGAAGCGGGGATAATTTTTATTTTAAAACATTTTCATCAAGTTATATCATATATTGCTAACAACTGTTCGTGTTTTCATGCAGCTTTATTTTTACCCATTTATGGAAATGATTACTACCCTCAATTGAAAGAAATGAGGTGGTTAAATTATGTTTGGAACGTCGGCAGTTATATCCCAGGTGGCATTCATGGAAAGTAGGCGCTATCTTTTTAATGAACCTGATTTGTTTTTTAATCGGCGTTTTAAAAATAGATTTATCGTTTATTAGCTATGGTGTAGATAAACAACAAACTTCAATATTTTCAAATTAAAAATAATATTAATCGGAGCCAAAAAGTCTATTTTAAAAGTTTTACTACAGGCTGAAAAAAAAATCAAATTTCCTTATTTTCAGATGTAAACAAGCTCTAATGAAGTGTGGTGGTATAAAGGACAAGTGCTGCGAACCAAGGCTAAGATGCAGGTAAGCTTTAAACAACAACAATATTTTTTTACTCAAACCGCACATTCACTGAAAACTACAATGATTATACATATACATTATACATTATACATACACGTACACGAACACGAACACGTACACGTACACGTACACGTACACGTACACGTACACGTACACATACACATACACCCATCCATTTAACCACTCACCCATCTATCCATCCACCCAACCGCCCATCCACCCACCCATCCATCCATCCATCTAGTTATTCATTCGTTCTTTTTTATATTTTTTTTTATTTTTTATTTATTCATTTGTTTATTTATTTACTTATTTATATATTTTTTAAATTTTAACACACAAACTTTATTAAATTCTCGTTTTTGATGTAGAGGCGGCTATTGTGAGCGTTGAATTAGGTTTAAAATGAATTGAAGCTTTGACCTACGTTGGTGACTAGATTGTGCATAATGGAGACTATTTTTTTATTCTCATGCTACGTTCGGCTAATTAAGTAATCAAGTAGCTTTGGTTTGTTTTTTCTTATAATCAAATAAAAACGAAAATTAAAACAATTTATAAGATCTCATAGTTTATGTTGTTTTTGTTCATCCATCCATACATATATCTATCGTGTGCTAAGTGGAATTAACTTTGAGTTGTGTGGGAAGTGCCCCGTTTAAACCTGTGGATTTGGTTGTGTGACGTATGGATTGTTGTTAGATCTGGGTTGTCGTTAATGGTGTCAAGAAGGTTGCGTTGCAGTTACTTTTTAAATATATCTTTCTGTTATCCTCTTTCCTTAATTATTTTAAAATATTTCAGTGTAAAACAAAAATGTATTTAAAAAACGTAGAAAAAGCAACACTCTGTCTTTAGTCATTCTTTATTAGAGATAAGGATCACCGGCAAAGTTAAAGGATAAACACATTCATTGCATACATTTAATTTTTACAGCCTATATATATATATATATATATATATATATATATATATATATATATATATATATATATATATATATATATATATATATATACATATAATGTTATAATAACATCTATCACAGTCATGTTGATTGTAAACACATGAAGTATTGTTTAATTAATGACATTATACCAGAACGATGGCAGATAAGCATGAAAAACAGACAAACAGACAAACAGACAACGACAAAAATCTTTCCGTGAAAAAACTATTACTGTGTGACCTGTCACGCTTTACGATAGCGCGGTATCGCAGACACACCTGCACAATTTCACTCACAAAAGAATAGATGTTATATAAATATATTTTAATAGTATTTTAAATTATTACTATAGCCGCTGAAACATATCCATCTCACTATTTTTTGATTATATAGAAATGGATTGCTATAGTTTAAAATACTAATCCTTTGTTTTCAAAATGTCGTGAGTAATTCTCATAGGCTCTGTTTTATTGTTATTTATTTTGATGTTACAGTTATACTAGGTCTCCGAATATACTATCCACTTGGAGTTTATTTTCCATTTCAGGCTAATTGTTTTGCTGTATTTCTACTCTAAATTTAGTCGATATGATTTTCCATGTTTAAATTTAAAAAAAAACTTCATTTTAGCCATGAAAACTAGACAGAGTAAAGACAATCACACTAAAGCAGACAGTATGATAAAAAATTATCACATTCAAGCAGACAGTATGATAAGAAATTATCACATACAAGCAGACAGTATGATAAGAAATTATCACATACAAGCAGACAGTATGATAAGAAATTATCACATTCAAGCAGACAGTATGATAAGAAATTATCACATTCAAGCAGACAGTATGATAAGAAATTATCACATGAAATCAGACAGTATAATAAGAAATTATCACATTCAGGCAGAGAGTACGATAAGAACTTATCACAAAACAGATTTGAACCGCCAAGCAACAGGAATGTAATGACTCTAGCATTCACGACTGATTGAGACTATGTTAGTACGTTAAGGCTTAGATGTTTGGTCATGTGACCTATCTCTTGGGTCATGTGACCTATCTGTTTGGTCATGTGACCTATCTATTGGGTCATGTGACCTACTCTTGGGTCATGTGACCTATCTGTTGGGTCATGTGACATATTTTCACGTGATATATGTGTCGTTTCATGCTATAGATCGGTTCGGACGTGTGACCTATCTGTTTAGTCACGTGACCTATCTGTTTAATCACGTAACCTATTTTTTTAGTAACGTGACCTATTTTTGTCATATGACCTATCTGTTTAGTCATGTGACCTAGTTTTGAGTCATGTGACCTATAATGATAGTACCAATCATGAGACCGTGTATCTAACAACAAACCAGCAGCACCAAACACAGCAGATACAAAATCTGAATTGAAAAAACCGCTACACCATTGTGTGCATTGTCTGACGACAAACTTTCTTCCGAGTTTGGATTCACTATTTTGTAGCTGATTTCTGAAAAAAAGAAAATGCAATTTAACAGAACTGTTTAGTTGAAACTATTTTAAAATAAGACTTAATGCAGACACAAGCCGTTTTAAAAAAAAATTTTATAAAATAAATATTTTTTTATATTTTTGAATAAAACAACATCTATTTGAAATAATTGAAAATGTTTTTGTTGAAATTTGTCTTACCACAATTAGGACTCAGAGCTTGAATTTGCGAAGATGTGTCAGAAATCTATGCAGAAAATAAAAAAATAAAAATACAATTCAGAAATATCTGTATATTTATGTGAACCTCAGACCTCTATTAGAATTTAGAAATCTAATGTGAAATATTTAGTGTCTGACGTACTCCGATAGAATTTAGAGATAAAATATGAAATATTTAGTGTCTGACTCGGTCCAATAGAATTTAGAAAATTTGAAATATAAAGTGTTGGACTCACAAATTTTTCTTGCGTGTTTTTACTACATGGTGCCATCAACCTGCAGTGAACAAAATCTTCCAGGTGTCTGAAACATCAAATGTGGAAAACACGTGCATAGTGATAGACATAATTAAATGTAGGGTCTGCATCTTAAGGAATATTTTAGTTCCTTTTCGTATAGTGATAGACTTAATAAAATGTAGAGACTATATCTTAAGGAATATTTTAGTTCCTTTTCGTATAGACTTAATTAAATGTAGGGTCTACATCTTTAAGAATACTTTAGTTATTTTACATCATTTTTATGTTAGAAAACTACTAAAAAGCACTTTGAAATACTGGAGTTTTCTAGTTCATAATTAACTTTATACGCGATTGAATAATGTGTATGGGTTTGAAAACAAAAAGTAGCTACCCATATGTTACACAGTCTTAATTATTACTAAATCTATTAAAATTATCTGACGTGTTTGTATGCAGCTTTAAAAAAAAATGTCACGCTGTGTAAGTCTTCATCTTTACATAGTGTGTAGGTCTACTTTATGACACAGTGTGTAGGTGACCATCATGACACAGTGTGTAGGTCTACTTCATGACACAGTGTGTAGGTGACCATCATGACACAGTGTGTAGGTCACCATCATAACACAGTGTGTAGGTCTACATTTGTGTAGGTCTACTTCATGAAACAGTATGTAGGCCAACATAAATGACTCATTTTAAATAAAATATCAGCAAATCATGAATAGCTCGGATATAAAAATAAATCGTAGACATAGGAGATAAAAGATGATAAATTAACGCTTTTTAAAGCTTTCGTGTGCTATAATAATACAGTGAAGCTAGGATTTCTAATATAATTTACCATCGTTTATTTAACGTGAATTAACGGTTAAGTTCAACAAATAGTACAATGTGATGATGTGAATACTCTTGATGCGATGATGGGAATACTCTAAATGGGTTGATGTGAATACTCTAGATGTGATGATGTGAAAACTTTAGATGTGATGATGTGAATACTCTAGATGTGATGATGTGATATACTCTAAATGGGTTGATGTGAATACTGTAGATGTGATGATGTAAATACTCTAGATGTGATGATGTGATATACTCTAGATGTGATGATGTGAATACTCTAGATGTGATGATGTGAATACTCTAGATGTGATGATGTGAAAACTTTAGATGTGATGATGTGAATACTCAAGATGTGATGATGTGAGTGATGATGTGAATACTCAAGATGTGATGATGTGAATACTCTAGATGTGATGATGTGAATACTTTAGATGTGATGATGTGATATGCTCTAGATGTGATGATGTGATATGCTCTAGATGTGATGATGTGATATGCTCTAGATGTGATGATGTGAATACTTTAGATGTGATGATGTGAATACTCTAGATGTGATGATGTGAATACTTTAGATGTGATGATGTGAATACTTTAGATGTGATGATGTGAATACTCAAGATGTGATGATGTGATATACTCTAGATGTGATGATGTGATATACTCTAGATGTGATATATTCTAGATGTAATAATGTGAATACTTTTGATGTGATGATGTGAATACTCTAGATGTGATGATGTGAATACTCTAGATGTGATGATGTCAATACTCTAGATGTGATGATGTGATAACATTAGATGTGATGATGTGAATACTCTAGATGTGATGATGTGATATACTCTAGATGTGATATATTCTAGATGTGATGATGTCAATACTCTAGATGTGATGATGTGAAAACTTTAGATGTGATGATGTGAATACTCTAGATGTGATGATGTCAATACTCTAGATGTGATGATGTGAAAACTTTAGATGTGATGATGTGAATACTCTAGATGTGATGATGTGATATACTCTAGATGTGAAGATGTGAAAACTTTAGATGTGATGATGCCAATACTCACTGGCACAGATCTGCGTCTTGTTTCACCTGATTATCTCTGGTAGCAGCCTGGATAAACGTCTTGCCACATTCTCTACTGGCGGCTGTACATGCTGGACAAGACAGGAGTTTGTGAGCCATTGTACACATACATTTGCACAGGATTTTGTGAGACATTGTACACATACATTTGGGTAGGATTTTGTGAGCCATTGTACACATACATTTGGGCAGGAGTTTGTGAGCCATTGTACACATACATTTGGGCAGGAATTTGTGAGCTATTGTATACATACATTTGGGACAAGACAGAAACGCTTAGATACAGGTTAATGGATGGTGAAGTAAACACAATTTTAGCACACGTTAGCACAACATATTTAGCCCTCAACGCATCCACATATCAATAACATCATACCTTCACTCCAACCACGTCACATATATACTAATTAGATTGTTAACATACTAACATGTTAACTAATTAACACACCCCACCACCAACACACCACCATATCACTTGTCTAAACATCAACATTTAAAACCATAGACAAAGCAGCAGGTTTGAAGAACAATTGTAACTACTTACTGTCAACTTGAGTATTTTCTTGATCTGAGTGGAATGAGAATTGATAATAGTTTTTATACATATATATGTATGTGTGTGTGTATATATATATATATATATATATATATATATATATATATATATATATATATATATATATATATAGTTACGACATGGATATTTAAAGATTTGTTGGACTGTATTGGACTGAGGAATTATGGATTTAAAGAGATATAAAAGTGTAAAAAGACGTGGGATTTTAAATATTGATAACCTGGAAAAATCCTGCTACTAACGCATCGTTCTGCACTCATTCAACAATATCCCTCCAACTTCCCCGTCCCTCCCCCCTCCCCAATCAGCTATCTCTAAAGGAGCATCCATTTCTTGTAAATCAAACAAGCAGACGATTAAATAAAAAAAAACACTAGCTGCCATTCATAAGTCTGGAAAGTAATTCAAGGCAAATGTTCTTCTTCTTCGTTCTTAATTTTAGTGTTGGAATGGATCCCCTCCAGCACAATTAAGGATACGTGTCAACTGGTTATGCGCCATTACATCCGATTTTAGCCTGCCTTTCTTTTTGGATTTGCTTCCATAGCCTTTGTCCGACCAAGAACAAACTACGAGGCAGAAGTTGTTTGATTTTGGAGTTGTCTCTCCTAGAAGAGTTGCTGTCCCCAGCTAACGAGCCTCATCTGTCCAAGCCAATTGATCGAACCAAGCGAAGGATTGAACGTTATCCTACCACACGGTATGTTTTAGGCGAAGGATTGAACGTTAGCCTAGCACACGGTATGTTTTAGGCGAAGGATTGAACGTTAGCCTACCACACGGTATGTTTGAGGCGAAGGATTGAACGTTAGCCTACCAATCGGTATGTTTTAGGCGAAGGATTGAACGTTAGCCTACCACACGGTATGTTTGAGGCGAAGGATTGAACGTTAACCTACCACACGGTATGTTTGAGGCGAAGGATTGAACGTTAGCCTACCACACGGTATGTTTGACTTGGTCAGCTCCTTGTTGACTTCCTGCTTTACGTCCTGCTGTTCTCGCTCCGTTAACCCACACTTCATGTTTGATGAACATTCTATGAACTGTGTCACCGTGCTGATAAAAGTTCAGCATATCATAATTTAATTGAAATAACAATTTTCATGTTCCGATTAAAATTTAACTACTATAATCTTTTGAATTGCTATTGATGTTTTTATTTTTAAATATTAGGAATTGTCTCTGGTATTCCGTATATCAGGATTAACGTTTGTAACTGTCTTCGAAAAGGAAAATGACAAACGTTTGCATACATAGGCACCAGTGCTGTTGCACCCACACAAATATAAACAGTCAACAGTTGTACTACTTCTTGCATAACTTACTTGCACATCATGATATTCCGTATCTCCAAGATTGGCATACGGTAAGGTTTGGACTGTATTGATGACATCACAGATTTGTAGGTATTGACGCAGGAGGTAAACATGGCGTCACATGCTAATAGGATGTAAACAACGACAATTAATTGGTTGTAGATTTCTCAAACTAATTTTATTGTTCTAGTCTAACACAATTTCTTTTATTTTATTTTTTTACAAACTTTCTATTATTGGAGTTTATAAAATGTGGGCTAACATGCCAAATGGGTTAACACTTACATGTTTTATTTGTCTTCTTAGCACCTGGGAAAAGTAAGTAAATTTGTTTATAAGTAAGTAACTGTGTTTATAAGTAAGTAATTTTTTTAAATTTATAAGTAATTACCTTTTTATAAGTAAGTAAATGTGTTTATAAGTAAGTAAATTTGTTTAAAGTAAGTAAATTTGTTTATGGTTAGTATGTGTGAAACAGTATTAAAACTAGATATTAGTGTTTGGACATCTAATATATTCACTCACCACCAAACTAAAAGGTGAGCACATGTATTTTATATGATGTCCTAATGAAATTTTACAATTTTTAAAGTTCGTTATTTTGTTGCTCTGCTGACAGGCAGTCATTAGTATTTCTACTTAACGTTTACATGTAATAAAGATGTTCATACATCAGGGGTCGGCAACCTGCGGCTCGCGAGCCGCATGCGGCTCTTTTGGTGTCCAGTTGCGGCTCTTCAGCTCCATGCACAAATATTAATAATTATTTTATTTTATTTTCAAAACTCAAAAAAATATTAGTCGACAACACTCGGTAATAAACGATATAACAATAGGTATAAACAAAAAAACATTCACTATTCTATTTAGTTACTCCTTATCTCAATGTACTTCCTATTACATTGTCCATTCCGAATTGAAACATTCAACTTCATCGTGGATATCTCAAAGAAACTAAACCAGCTAAGTTTAAAACTGAAAACCCAGCCTATGTCTTGTTTGAAGAAGTGGTTTATTTCGAAAAAAAAATACTTTTTTTTTGTTGAACACATATGTGAGCGGTAAATTACTTAATTACGAAAAATCTGAAAAAAATATCGTTATGAAACCAATGCTACTATTCAGTCACTTCAGCATTAAAATAAACAAAAGGAAGGATGTTTTCACTGAGAAATTTGAGCAATTCAAAACAAATGCAAGTACTCTGACTTACATAGTAGATCCTCTCAACACAAATTCAAATGAAATTATTTCATACTTTCAAAGCTATTTATTTTATATTATAATATATATATATATATATATATATATATATATATATATATATATATATATATATATATATATAGTATGATATTTGTTTAGGATTTTATATATATATATATATATATATATATATATATATATATATATATATATATATATATATATATATATATATATATATATATATATGTTTAATTCCTAAACAAATATACTATTGACATAAAAAAAAGTTAGTGGCTCTTTAAAAACCGGATAATGTTGTAAATTTGTAACTTTTGGCTCTTTCGTCCCAAAAGGTTGCCGACCCCTGTCATACATAGATAAAACCTCATTCCATATAAGTGATGTCAGTTCATACCATCTCCCACACTACTCAATGTTACGCTATTACGTCAGTGGCGGAATAAAGGAGGGGGCTGAGAGGGCAGCAGCAAGAGGCCCCCGATTTTTAGGGGCCCCATGTTTTCGCGTACTTACTAAACTTCATTTTAAATTTAAGTTTAAATGTTGATTTTTACTAGATTTTTTTATGTTAGGATCACAACTTTATTTCCTTGTTTTCTTTCTAAATATGAAACACGCATACACCCTCTAGTGTAGATAGCAGCTGTCATCATCTCATACCCAGACATTTTTTACTTAAAATGACCCCGCCTTAAAAACTTTTTTTTTAAATTATCACACAGGCCCGTAATAGCTAGTAAAATTAATGTTCATATAGACTTTTGTTTCTGTTAGTTAAGTAATCTTTATTACCCAACAAAGGCTATCAAAAATGGGTTAATTTCAAAACTTCCCCCTTCCCTCTAGTATTAATATCGGCTGTTATTTTTGGATTTTTAAATATATTTTTGGAAACTATTTTCCCTAAATTGACAGAAATTGTATTCGCTGCACACAATCAACCAGTTTCAAAAGGAAAAAAAAAACATAAAATTAATCGCATCAAAACAGAATACAAAAACATGTTTAATCCCGGCTGATCATTACCAAACAAAATGAGAGGACAGGGTTAGGCTCAGACCTACAGCGCTAAATCCTGACGGAGTAATTATGTAGGCATACTGATCCAGGTGTCTGCGCGGTTAGAAAACAACTAGCGATTAAAATTAAGCAGCAGGCCTATGTTTTTAAAGTGTGTTATTTGAAAGGTTGAACAGTCATGTTTTATGTACCAAAGTAAAAAAAAATTATTACCAAACCTAGAAACCGAGTGGGAGCTACAAGGTGTGGTGTATCTAAAGAGTATAAAAGATGAAGTTGAGGTCTGCACTCGTTGATAGAGTTTCTTCCAGGCATCTCTTCGGCGGGGGGGGGGGGGGGGGCGAAAAAAACTCTACCGCCCCCCCCCCCCCAACGAAATGAAATTTATATAGAAAATATATACTTTTAACAGTGTCGTCGTCCCCCCCCCGGAGAAAGTCAACCACCCCCCCCCCCCCCCCGAAAATTTCAAGTGTCCCCCGGAGAAAAAGTCTGAAAGAAACACTGCTCATTGACAGTAACGATTAAGAAGGCTGAACCGGTATTAGGGATCCCCAAATATCCTCTTATCAACAGAAATAAAAATAATTTTCCTGTCAACTTTGTTTGGCTTTTTAACAAACTGAATGGTTGGTGACCTACTTACCAGCCCTATTACACCAAGCTATAACACCTAATTTATCGGATATGTGTGTGTGTTAAGTGATCACAAAAATTAACATAATAAAAAGTTGAAATTAATCCTTCACCTTCCACTAGATCCAGACTAACAGCACTAAAACTCTAACATGTTTACCAAAGTAATTAGAAAGGTACGGACAGAATTTTTTAAATGTTGTTACCTAAACAAAATTTTAGTATAGCTATATTTTTTAATTGATAAATTATAATCAAACATGATTTTCAAAGTACTGTTGATGCAATATCAGGAGTTTAGCCAGTTTATCGTGGACTTGTATTCCTCGCCAACTACTCCTGTGACTTTTCGTCTACGTCATCGACATTTGTATTACAGAATTGCAAACACACAACTAAAGAGCAAATTATTTAAAAATTCATCAAATGACTCAAAACAAAACCCGTGGAAGCGGGATGATCACTTTCTTATACGTCTGAATTCTGTTTTTTTTCCCACCATTTTAATGTTTTTTATGTTATATAAAAGTCAATACTTCAGTATATTATCAACGGCTAATAGCCATTTGATGTTAGAATGACATGAAATAAGCCATCATGTCACAATGTCACATGAGAACCAGTGTTTCTTCCAGACTTTTTTCTCCGGGGGGGGGGGGGGGGCACTTGAAATTTTCGGGGGGGGCGGTAGACTTTCTTCGGGGGGGGGGGGCGGACACTGTTAAAAGTATATATTTTCTATATAAATTATATACATTTCATTTCGTTCGGGGGGGGGGGGCGGTAAAATTTTTTCGGGGGGGCTTAGCCCCCCCCCCCCCCCCCCCCCGAAGAGATGCCTGGAAGAAACTCTGCTGAGAACACACGTAAAACGTAGAGCAGTTTGATCATATCAGGGGAGACGATTGCTTAAACCTGATTAAATAAATTGATTCCCTCCCCTTTAAATGACTTGTTAATAACAATCAGCTTACGCTTGTCTGTCTTGGTGAAGCCTGAAGAAAAATCGATTGGAAATTGTTAAAATATAAACAATAGAAAACATTCAGTTGAAATATAAACAATAGGAAACATACAGTAGGAAAATAAACAAAAGAACTCATACAGTAGAAAAATAAACAACAGAAAACATACAGTAGAAAATTTTAAATTAGAGAAAACCTGAGCTAGATCTATATAACAAAACACATTTATAAAAGAGTATAAATAGTGAAAACCGTGGAAAAACAGATAAAACCATCGAAAAAAAAAACGTTATAACAGGGGTCGGCAACCTGCGGCTCGCGAGCCGCATGCGGCTCTTTTGATATCAAGATGAGGCTCTCCAGCTCCTTGCACAAATACTAATAATCTTCTTCAAAAAATAAAATATTTGAAATAAAAAAATGTTAGTGGCTCTTTAAATCCAGGGAAATTTTGAAAATTGTAACTTTTGGCTCTTCCGCTTCAAAAGGTTGCCGACCCCTGCGTTATAATAATTAGCTTTAAAATGCATTGAAGATATTTTTTTAAATAGAAAAACAAACTATTTTAAGCTACCAATGCTTTTGTTTATCAACAAAGCAAATCATTATTTTTTTAATGTTCAGTACCATTTACAGCTTATTTTTATAACGTTTAGTTTTTTTTTTTTTTTTGCTTTTTTTTTTAATTTCTGAAACCATTCAAAATGTTCAAGGAAAGTAACTGATGATATCCCCTATCATTATTATATGGCTGACTGAATGAATGATTCGATCTACCCCCAACATTATTCTGCTTGGAACACTGGAGGGTAAAATCTATCCCCTAACATTATACTGCCTGAATTCTTTCTTCTTATTCTTTCTTAATTTTAGTTGTGGAAAGCATTCCCTCCAACACAATTAAGTATATGTGTCATTGGCTGTTGACTCTTATTTTAGCCTGCTTTTCTTTTTGGATTTGCTTCCATAGCCTTTTTCCATCCAAGAACAAACTACAGGGCTGCAGTTGTTAGATTACTCAGCTATCGAGGCTCATCTGCCCGAGGGTTCGAACTCAAGAATTTTCGGTTTAGTAACCATTAGCTTTGCCGACTCGAGGAGGGTTATACATATACCCCCCAACACTTGACAGCCTGAATGAATAGAGGTTATATCTACCCCCTAACCACCCCCCCCTCCAACATTTGACTGCCAGACTGAATGGATGGTTACAAACACCGCGACTCACCACAATCGATGTTTCGGCTAATCAGTTCCTTTTTCATATTGGCCAGCGTTTTCTCAACCCCCAAGCTGTTCTGGCAATCACCCACGTTAAAACAAGCGGCCAGTTTGGTGAACAATCTGGAAACAACAAAAGTTAAAACGTGCAGCCAGTTAGGTGAACAGAACATAATTGTGTCCAGTCATATTTTGTGTCACCTTTTGTGTCCAGTCATATTTTGCGTCAACTAGTCATATTTTATCACCACCATGTCCAGCTATATTTTGTTTCACTCTTGGTGTCCAGTCACGTTTTGTATCACTACTTGTGTCCAGTTATATTTTCACATACCCGTCCCATAAATCTCCCACATATGCTATAGATGTCATAGTCAATCACCGTCTTAAATGTTTTGTTTCTGTAAATGATTCCTCCTGCCCCCGTCTTAAAAGTGCCTTCCTTTCCTGTATAGACTCAGAACTTACTCGCATTCCCTGGAGCGGCTCTTGTTCTGGGACTTGTCGGCATCTTTACCATACACCTCCATACATCCTGCCAGCAACATCATACACGAATTATCTGTGTAAGAAACGTTAACAAGTTCCAATAGTATTTTGTAATAGAAACAAAATGCCTCTACCCTAAAAAAAACGTATTACCAACACACGTTTAGAATGTATATTTCTATTATAATGGAAACGTATAACCAGAAAAATAAAGATGAAGCAGAAATAGCTTAAGTTACTAAAATTATTTTATTTATTTTTAAATTTCAATGAGCTGAGAAATATCAGACATGGACAAAAGATTTGTACAGCTTCTATTTCCAGATTGTGGAGCGTTTTTAAATTAACCTCTATATTTAACTTTTAATTAACAAAACTAATTATATACGTAACTTACCGCCTCTGGCAGGAACGAAAAAATCTGAAAAAAAAAAACATTTTAAAATTTCTTAGCTAACATGTTCCATTAGAAATGATGACTTTTTATATTGTCAGAGTTTTGTCTGTCAGAAAATCATACATTAGAAAACACGCTTAAACCCATATCTAAACAACACATACATAAGAAAACACACGTTAAAACCATATCTAAACAACACATACATAATAAAACAAACGCTTAAAACCATATCTAAACACACAAACAAATAAAAGTACACGCACAAAAAGTAAGTTTGTGTTGATAACATTTTGACTTCAGATCATATGAGTAGGAATATGTGTCTGGAAAAAAATAGTATGACTTGGAAATAAATATGTGCTTAGAAACGACATTTTTCATCCGATGCTTTTCTGGCTTTCGTATTTAGACTTGTGAAAATGAAACTTCGAGCTTCTATTAACTAAAGCTAAAAATATATATTCTCAAATTATGTTATTTACATTTTACTACGAGATGAATGTTATTGAACCAGGTAACAGCGTATATCAAGTTTACAGTCTGAGAACCACTGGATGATAGGATGAATATTTAATGAGCCGTCAGATATTTGAAATCTTCTGGGTAAGCTGAGATACCAAGGCGTTGGTGTGATTTTAACTTCAGCCACAATTTTTGCAAACTTCACATTGAGGAGCCAAGTCTCTGTTTAAAGAATAATTAATAGCCGGCGTGTAGGTGTGCGTATTAGTAAGTAAGTGTGTGTATGTGTGTATGTGGTACATGTAGTGAACATAAGCTTGCTGTTGTAACATATGGGGATGGTAGGGGGGGGGGGGGGCAGAGTGATCAAGATGACAGTATGGAATGTAAGGAGATATATGAGAGGCTGATATATTAGAGGAAGAGAGAAGGACAAAAGCTTTACGTGTTAATTTATCTGAACCATTAACACATATTTTTTGCCTAGCTAAAATCAATAGTTAAGGCATGGAAGATTTAATTAATGTTCGATTAAACGCAAACATCATTAACACTTCAATAAATGACGTATAATAAAACGATTTTATGAAAAAACTGAAGATTTTAACATTGAATGTCATGAAGAGAATATCTTATGGAAAGAACATCACATGGAAAGAACATCAGATGGAAAGAACTTCACGTGGATAGAACATCAGATGGAAAGAACATCAGATGGACAAAACATCAGATGGAAAGAACATAAGATGGAAAGAACATCAGATGGAAAGAACACAAAAAGAAAGAGAACTAAACCATACCTTCCTACCCCTTTACATCTTTAAGTGTTGTGTTATGTTCTATACTTCCTGGTGTTAAGTGTGACAGACAGTTCATTAGATCTATAGATCTATACATCTATAGAACCACGATTAAAACACTGAGATATTAGACTATCAGGAAGAAAAATACTATGAATAAACTCCGAGGTCAGCTAAAAATAAACGTTTTTATCAACTGTAAAGGAGTGTTGGGGGTCAGTAATAAAATAGAGCAGGGGTTCCCAACCTTTTTTACTTTCTCGTATATACGAAGTATAGAGAAAGTCTTGTAATCGTGCACAAAAAAATCGAGATTTTTACAAATCTCGACGTTTTACACCTCACTGATACGGAAAAACATAATTTTGCAATCTTGTCCGTATGTCTGTGTGTCTGTCTGTCTGTCGGTGTGTAAACACGATAACTTGAGTACCGTTACAGCTAGGTTGATGAAATTTCATAATAAGTATTTTATCAAAATCGTAGATCCGTATCAACTTTTGAGCGATTTCCGATAACCGAAAGTGGTACTTTTCCTACTTTGAATTTTTCAAAAGCCTATATATATAAGTTGAGTACTATTTCAGATAGATAAATGAAATTTCACATGTAAGTAAAAGATCTAATTCTCTACCTTCTGTTAAATTTTGAGTAATTTCCGTTGACTGGAAGTAGTAATTTACGCTACTTCCGATTTCTCAAAAAACTAATGTAAATTTTAAAAGTACTAATAATATTGCGCACTATTATGCGCTTTTTTATTTGGCGTTCACTTGGTGTGCAATTAATTTGTCTACGAAATTTTATTCTATTTTTAAAACTTTAAGTATTTAAAATGGATTAAAAATCATGTCTATAGCCCGAGTTCCCATCCCCTGTTATTTTATATAAGAATATTCGAGAAAGTTTAGGGGAGATCACTCCCGGTTTATTTACTCTAGAGCACATTCTAAAATATCGTTTGGGTGGCGGGCACCAAATATTTTAAATCAACAAACTCCTTCCATAACTTCTCATTTTCCCATAATTTATTTTCTTATTTTCTTATAGTCATCATAATTATATTAATAAATAATAAACAAAAATGTTTCAAAATAATAAAATTATTCGGCATTTTTTTCAAATTGCATACACACAGAGAAAAATTTATTTACAAAACGTAAAGAAAGTAAACAAAACACATAAATACAAAGAAAACATTTAATTAAAAAATATAATAAAATCAATGTGATCTTTGGCATTGCATTTCATTGGCCAGAGCTTCATAATTAGGAGCGTATGACGATAATCCTGTTAGCAGACAATCATAAAGATGCTCATCGGTGAGTCGAGATCTATATCTTGATTTTATTAAGTTAATGTTTGAAAACAATGATTCGCATAAATATGTCGAACCGAAAAATGATTCAAATGGCACTAGCCGTTCCAGGATAGCGTAAATAGTTCAGTCTGGCTCGCCGCTAGACAAGTTGGGACAAGTAACAAACATATTTAATAAACCTAGGCAGTAAAAAAAAAAATTAAAACGGTAACAAATGAATAAAAATAAATCATATTTTAAAATAATGTTTATGAAAAAAAATTCTGCCTCTGTCGAATAGTGAGAGGTGAGCACATACGAATCGTGCAGCGGGCGCCATGGCGCCCGCGGGCACAGGGTTGGGAACCCCTGAAATAGAGAATGGACTAATGGACTAAAATGTTCTTTTAAATCTAAGAATATAAACCAAAGCGGTTCGAGTTCTGTTCGATATTTACTACATCACCCAGGGGAGATCAAAACAAATACTGGAAATCTCATGAATGACAAACACAGAAAGTAGTTTCATAAGAGTACACGGCTTATGTATTCATACAAGCTCTAGAGCGAAAACAACGGATCAAGGGAGGTAAGGCTTATAGGCTTATATAGTGACTGAAGAAACAGGGTAGGTAACTAGAGCACTATGGATGAGAATTATATATATATAAATAAAATACATGTGTATATATATATATATATATATATATATATATATATATATATATATATATATATATATATATATATATATATATATATATATATTATATATATAATATATATATATATATATATATATATATATATATATATATATATATATATATATATATTATATATATAATATATATATATATATATATATATATATATATATATATATATATAAGTGAGATCGAAAAAATATAATATTAGTCCTTTTCTCTTCCTGCTGAATTTTATCGAATAGTTTAATCTTTAAACTTTAAAAAAAATACAATCTACTTGGTTTATGGCTGCACGGGAAATACTGCTGACATCAGAGGTTTTAAAACCAAGTGCTAGCTTGTGTACAGTTTGTATCGATTACAACCAAGTGCAGGTCATGATGTGCAACTACAGTACACGAAAACAGAAGCCAAAAATCCCAATCAAAAAACATACATGATGTAATGACAATACCACAAAAAAACAGCACACTAAAGCAGATCATAACGCCCATATTTTCTTCACTGATTAGCTTTTGATCCACAATCTCGCCCAGTTCATTTATATTCTGTTTTCCTACACCGACCGCACGTACGTAGACATGTATGCATGTATATATGTATGTATGTATGTATGTATGTGCTCATGCTGACTAATTAACAGAATGCCCTTGACTTGACGCTCATGAAATCTTTTACAGCATCACCTTCAAGGGTGAGAAAATACGTGATACACCCCCCTCCCCCCTGTTCACCCACCTATTCCCAGCTTTATTTTTAGCCTCTCTTGTGTCGGAATGAGTCATTCATCTGGCATTGTTGCCGAGTGTTTCTAAGTGGCCCCATTAGCGCCAAGTTTCAGCCAGAGTACAATGAGGGGAGACAAATCACTGCATATTGTAATGTGTCGGTCTCGCCTCTTCTCGCTGCTCTCCCCTTGCGTTAGGATATTTCGCCATAACATGCAGACAATGAGGAACACACTTTCGACTAGAATACGTGTTTGGTTCACACACAAAATAAAAAGGAAAACGATGTTTGGAATTAAAGTAATTTGTAAAAACTAACAAGTCGACAAAAATTTGTTGGTGTTGGTCGCAGGTCCACACATGATTTTTTTGTTAGTGTTGGTCCACACATGATTTTCCTACCACTGCCTACCTGAAGCAGGTAGAGAAATAATTTTACCTCCACACCTCGACTGTGTACAGGGCAAGACGAAGTATTGCACGTTCCAAACGGTAAAATTATGTAGCCTAAACAACGCTCAGTAAAATGTATTGTGTAGCCTTTGCGACATTCTATTTTTAAAGCAATTGCGTACCCGTCATACGCGCCGCTGCAGGCTGACGCAATATTTTAAGAGGTTTCATGAGTAGGCCTATACTTTTAAACGCGTGAACTAAAACTGAGTTATTAAAATGCTAAAAGCGCTGACGCTACATTTCTTGAATTTTAGTTGTTATGGTTTGGGATTGTCAACTTTAACGCCCAGACGCCCTAGGGCGTGCTGTATTTAAAGCTAGAGTGTATATTTAGTGTAAGTTAGAACATACCTCGGAGACTGTTTAAGTATCACTCTCTGGAGCAACCGATTACTCTATCGCAGGGGTTCAGGGTACGGTCCCTAGTTTGGTTTAATCATCAAATGTCGAGTGTTCTTTTAAATGAATTTAGGCGCCATAGTGCTCACGGGGGAGCCGGAGTGCTGCAGATTACCAGACAGACGGGCTGCCGGCAGAGGCGTCCGATTTGATTTAGTCAGTGATTATAATCGCGCACCGTACCCATTGTAGGTGCCATAGTGTTCACAGACGAGCCAGGGGCGCCAAATCGCACTCTGTGGGGCGCCGGGAGTTTCGCCTAATGCAAGATAGTGGTCCTCACAGGGAAGTCCTGTGGGCTCCAGGTCACCCGAAAGTCAGGGCGCCGGCGGACGTCTGGTTCGATTAGCCAACGATATTAGCAGCCCATCGTACCCGTAGTGTATTGCACTCTGTAGACGCGCCTGATTCAATTAAGTCAATGATTGTCGTAGCCCGCCGTGCCCTCAGAGCATACCCAATTTTGTAAACCAAACCTAGCCACCAGGGCGCTCTGGGTCACACAACCCCCACCCTCCCCCGGGCGCCGCCATATTAGCGTGTTACAGTTTTAATGTTAAATACAGCAATACCCCTCCTAACCCCCTGTTCAGGACGCCCAATGAATGGATATCAAGTGTTATGATAGCCGCCCGGGATCTTTGGGCGCCAAAGATCGCTAGACTTTTATTTGTATATACCGTATATACTGACAAAAAATCGCACCTTTTTCCTAAGAGCCACCCCTTCGAAATTTTCTTTTCCAAAGAAACCTACCCTCAAGTTTCATGGCGATCGGATGAAAGATTTAGTAATGCATAAACGACACCCATACCCACATACGTTTTTGTATATAAAAGTGGGGTGCTATTTATTGTATTTGTAAAAGCTAGAGGTAGCCACCACCTCCAACCACATCACCCTCGGTTTTAAACAAACATCCTTAAACACCACTAAATCATCTTCTTTAGCCTCGTTCAGCTAGTTTGTGTATCGATTACATCATAACCTTAGCGGACGTGGGATGTGGAAGAGTGTGAAAATGTTGAGCGAAGCTGTACAAGTTAGCGTTGGTAGAGGGCTTCACCACAAAGTCATAATTACTGAATGGCTTCACCACAAAGTCATAATTACTGAATGGCTTCACCACAAAGTCATAATTACTGAATGGCTTCACCACAAAGTCATAATTACTGAATGGCTTCACCACAAAGTCATAATTACTGAGTCACAGTAGCGTACGCAGGGGTGGAGCAGGGGGAGCGGCCGCTCCCCCTCTGGCCATTTTCAGCAAAGTGGCGCCTTTTTGGAAACTTTTTAAACTCAAAGTTTTAAACAATGATATTTGTTAAAAAAATATTTTTGGTCGGCACATCTATGTAAATCACAAGATTTCTTCTCATGCAGCAATTAAGCATTATTGTACTAGTCTAGTAGTGTCTACGTTTACAACACGTATTAACAGCTGCATCAGTTTGCCATTCTAAAAGTAACCATTATGATGCATTGCAATGTTTAAAAAACCTCTACGGGTAGTACCACTTGGCAAGAGGGGTGTTAAGTTTATGGCAACTGTATAATGTATATGCCTACGAATAATTGAATTAGAAAATGTTATACATAAAACTTCACACATAATTACTTTATTTATACAGTTTGAATCGTGTGATTAATTTTAAAAAAATTACAATACAGAAACAAATACAACTGATGTGGCACCTCTATTTAAATTTACTTATGAGCAAACTGCGTAGTGGTGGGGAAATTTTGACAAGGTCAACAACGTCATCACGATGAAGTAGTAGTATTCTTACAGTTTGGAGATAGTGATTACGATTACAAATTATATGAAACAGTTACAACCCCCCTCCCCCATGGACCCCTCTGTAAAAAAAATATTGTCATAATACCACTGCTACTTATTTAAATCTATATCTGTAATATATATTTGTGAAATATATTTTTGTGTAATATATATGTATGTTTAGAACAGTCATCTAAAAACTGACGCTTTGTTCACTCTGAGTTGGTTATCTTCCGCCCCCCCCCCCCACCTCACTACCAAAATTGTGTAGAGCAACATTAATGTCACACCTAGGTATACACTGGATTGGATAATTGACCTAAAGTGACCGAACAGTGGTGAATGAAGTTGAACCCCCCCCCCCCCACCCACCCCGAACTGATCTGTTAAGTACATGTAGAAAAACGCGTAATGATGTACCAAAGTACCATGCCGCCAGAAAATTAGCTTTTTAAACGTAAAATTCTGTGAATATTGTTTTTGCAATTACCAGTAAAAAGGTGTGTGATCAATACAGTGATCTAACCCATACCTATCACTATGTTAAAAAATGATCTTTAAAGAACACAAAGAAACAGCAGTTAATTAAAAATATATGATCTGAACTAAAAAGACCGATTTTATTTAATTTTAGGCTGTTATTCCAAATGTTTTTCTATTATATTGAAAAGCGTGGTTTTATACCAACTCTGATTTTTAAAAACTTTCTTTATGCTGTAATATTTTAGCATTTATGATGACGATATATTTAATTCTGATTATAGACAAAAACATGTTGTAAACACGAATAGTGTTAAACAATTTCACTATATTCTTAAGTAATTATTTATTTGTTTTGACATTTATAATTAAATGTGTAGATATATACATATTAATATTAAGAGAGTGATTATTTCCCCTATTTCACTTGTCTTAAATAATTTTCCAGGAATTATTATGTAAGAAATTTTTTTTACAAGAATTACAAAACAGATTGTGTTACGTTTATTGTTGTTGGTTGTAGTGTGTGTATATATTTTTTTTGTTTAGATTGATAAAATTTTTGTTTTGTCGGCCTACATTCTGTGTTGTTTCTTATTTCTTCAGAGTGCTACTTTCAATTCATTTTACATCATAGCGCAGTAATGACATACAGCTAGTAGTTATATATATATATATATATATATATATATATATATATATATATATATATATATATATATATATATATATATATATATATATATATATATATATATATAGAATACACGTATACAGAACGTGTTAAAAATTTGGCGCCTTTTTTTGCTCTTTTCGCTCCCCCTACAACGAAAACCTGGATACGCCTCTGCTGAGTCACTCACCTTTCTCTTAGCGTCACCAGTAGCACATGTGTGAGCGTCACCAGTCATGTTAGTAGCACATGTGTGAGCGTCACCAGTCATGCTAGTAGCACATGTGTAAGCATCAACAGTCATGTTAGTAGCACTCATCTGTCAGCGTCACCAGTCATGTTAGTAGCACTCATCTGTCAGCGTCACCAGTCATGATTGTAGCACCCATCAAACAGAAGGTTGTGTAGGAATATATGTTATGTAATGTCGGTGCACGTAGGCGGATGAAAATATATGTCGGCGAATGTGTATGTATGAGTACGTAAAGCACGTCACATATTAGTTGCAAATACAGTATGCCACATATTAGACACAGCTACTAACGTATACGTTAAAGCCAGTGCCAACATAATGCCTGTGTATGGTAGACATAATGCTTATGTATGGTACACTTTCTTAATAATCTTTAATTCAGTTTCTTATGAATGTATTTAAAGTTTTATTCAGTGTATTATGAATGTATTAAATGTTTTATAATAAAACAAGTGATCTTGTTAAAACCAAAGTTTCCCCACTTAACAACACAATGTTAATTTATGCAAATATACATACACCCACACCAAACTAGCAAGAATATTAGAGCAATTTTAAGCTAAACTAATTAGTTAGTGGAAGACATAATTAGACTAATTAAAATAATTTTAAAAATTAGACTAATAAATTTAAAAATTCTTACCTGCTAATAGAATCAAGTGGACCAAAGCAGATGCAGCCAAGCATATCCAGTTCATGATGTTGCTTGTACTAGAAAGATGAAAATCTCAGTTAGCATTTGATGATGGGCAAACTATAAAGACAATGTCATAGATAGCATTTGATGATGTGCAAACTATAACGGCAACAATGTCATAGATAGCATTTGATGATGTGCAAACTATAACAACAACAATGTCATAGTTAGCACACGTCAGTAGAACTTTGTGTGAACGTGAGCACCCTCTAGAGGACCCGGCCGTGCACACGAGTGCGCGTGTGTGGACGAGCGCTGACAATTCTCGCACTCGAGCTGAAGCGCTCGAGGAAATGAGCAGACAATGTGCATTTGTTTTTATTTCCGCGTGCAGCAGTTGTGTTGTCACTTGTGTGAGGGATGGTGATGGTGGTGGTGATGGTGATGGTGCTAGGACGTGCTGGTGCTAGGTGATGGTGATGGTGATGGTGGTGGTGATGGTGATGGTAATGGTGGTGATGGTGGTGATGGTGATGGTGATGGTGGTGGTGATGGTGATGGTGATGGTGCTAGAGGACGTGATGGTGTTGCTGCTATGGGACAGCACCTGTTTAAGTATGGGACAGCACGGTGATTAAATGTGACGGCAGAAAATTTTCACCCCCCCCCCCAATCATATCAATCCCCCCCCCCCCCCCCCCACACACACACAGTGGTCTAATGGTCGGTCATAAGGTCCGATACAGTGGTCTAACGGTCCGACACATTGTCACGTCGATACTTTTGTTGGGAAAGATAGGAGAGATAGGAGTGGGGGGGGGGGGGGATTAATCTATTCACAAACTATCTGCCGTACTATTTGAAGAGATCTTCACATATAATTTAGATAATCTGTTAGATATGGATGTGAATCTAGATCTTGATAGATGACAGATGACATGACAGATGAGAGTGGATAGATGATAGATTTAGATAGATGTCAACAGATGAAGCTGTATGTAAATAAGATGACTTACTTGTTAAACTATCTGAAACGGATAAACTAATGTTGTATGTATGTAAATATGTCAAGATGTCTTATTTGTTAAACTATCTGAAAACGGACAAACTAATGTGGTATATATGTAAATATGTCAAGATGTCTTATTTGTCAAACTGTCTGACAACAATTAAACTAATGTTGTATATATGTAAATCTGTCAAGATGACTTACTTGCTAAATTATCTGACCAGAGAAAAATTAATGCTGGACCTTACATCCCATGTTACACCTCAACAGATTTCCCCATGTTAGCAGGGAGAGCAAAATGTAATTCTTTGATCTTTTGCTCCCAGCAACATGACTGAGGGAATTTAATACGCTCGGGCCATGAGGGTGGGAGGGGGTGGAGGGGGGGAGTAGGGGGTGGGGGATGGAGGGGGATGGAGGGGATGGAGGGGATGGAGGGGATGGAGGGGGATGGGTTTGTTGTCATCGGAGGATGCCTCACGACCGGGAAGGAAAAAATATTTAGCACAGTTTTGTCGCTCACTTCAACATCGTTATATTGAGGGTAGGGGAGGTGGGGTGGGGATGTGTGGTGGGGTGGGCGGAGAGGTGGGTGGGGTGGGGTGGAGAGGTGGGGGAAACCCGAATGTTCATGCTGAGATTCGATCTCTCAAATTACTCGGCTAAAAAACCAAAGCAAGACAAGTATGTTGTTGATGTGGAATAGAATATGTAGGCAGATTTGAATATTTGTGTATGTTGTTGATGTGGAATAGAATATGTAGGCAGATTTGAATATTTGTGTATGTTGTTGATGTGGAATAGAATATGTAGGCAGATTAGAATATTTGTGTATGTTGTTGATGTGGAATAGAATATGTAGGCAGATTAGAATATTTGTGTATGTTGTTGATGTGGAATAGAATATGTAGGCAGATTAGAATATTTGTGTATGTTGTTGATGTGGAATAGAATATGTAGGCAGATTTGAATATTTGTGTATGTTGTTGATGTGGAATAGAATATGTAGGCAGATTAGAATATTTGTGTATGTTGTTGATGTGGAATAGAATATGTAGGCAGATTTGAATACGTGTGTATATTGTTGTATGTTGTTGATGTGGAATATAATGTGGAGACAGATTAGAATACGTGTGTATGTTGTTGATGTGGAATAGAATATGTTTGGTGATTAGAATAAGTGTGTATGTTCTTGTATGTTGTTGATGTGGAATATAATGTGGAGACAGATTAGAATACGTGTGTATGTTGTTGATGTGGAATAGAATATGTTTGGTGATTAGAATATGTGTGTATATTGTTGATGTGGAATACAATATGTTTGGTGATTAGAATATGTGTGTATCTTGTTGATGTGGAATACAATATGTAGGCAGACTAGAATATTTGTGTATGTTGTTGTATGTTGTTGTAGAGATAAAACACGGGCAGGTACTGAAGTGAGATACACGTACACAGGTCGCAGGAATTATTATCAAATGCAAAGTGAGGCTTTAATGAAATAATTATTCTAAACTGAAGTCTATTGGCTAGAGTCCGGCTAGAGCAAAGGTTACCCAAAATGGTAGATACATGTCCCTGCGACTTTGTTTGACCGCAGTTTCAAAACTGACAAACTTATTTAGAACTATACAATACTTTATACAATATTCTGGCCTTACACTATTATGGCCATACTATTGTATTCATACACTATTGTCGCCATCGCTATTATGGCTAGCACTATTCTGGACATACTATTGTATTCATACACTATTGTCGGCATCGCTATTATGGCTAGCACTATTCTGGACATACTATTGTATTCATACACTATTAGGGTCATCGCTATTATGGCTAGCATTATTCTGGCCATACTGTTGTATTCATACACTATTGTCGCCATCGCTCTTATGGCTAGCATTATTCGGGGCATAGACTAATCTGACCATGCAGTATCTTTGCTATAGTATTGTGATCATAAATGTAGTTGGCCAAACCATGTCTAGGTCTTTCTATTCTCAGTACACATCATAGTCTATACAGCAACCAGTCTAAAGCAGGAGACGACTGTAACAGTTTGAGGATCGCTGGGTTAGGACCATGGAGAACTGTGTTAGAACCACTCAACATCTGTGGAACATTACCATACAGTGAGAAACAGGTGCTGATTAATTACATCAAGCGTTACGGTGGAATAAACGGTAGTGGTTTTTTCTGTTAAAACAAGCACTAATGACATAGGCCATTATGTTAATGTGTTTCATTGTCCATTATGTTTGGTTTAACATCGTGGGTCATTGTCCATTATGTTTGGTTTAACATCGTGTGTCAATGTCCATTCTGTTTGGTTTAACATCGTGTGTCATTGTCCATTCTGTTTGGTTTAACATCGTGTGTCATTGTCCATTCTGTTTGGTTTAACATCGTGTGTCATTATCCATTCTGTTTGGTTTAACATCGTGTGTCATTGTCCATTCTGTTTGGTTTAACATCGTGTGTCATTGTCCATTCTGTTTGGTTTAACATCGTGTGTCATTGTCCATTCTGTTTGGTTTAACATCGTGTGTCATTATCCATTCTGTTTGGTTTAACATCGTGTGTCATTGTCCATTCTGTTTGGTTTAACATCGTGTGTCATTGTCCATTCTGTTTGGTTTAACATCGTGTGTCATTGTCCATTCTGTTTGGTTTAACATCGTGTGTCATTGTCCATTCTATTTGGTTTAACATCGTGTGTCATTGTCCATTCTGTTTGGTTTAACATCGTGTGTCATTGTCCATTCTGTTTGGTTTAACATTGTTCGCCATTGACCATTATGCCAGATGGTTACATCACTGACAAGCCTTATCGCGTTATATTCGTTACAATCATGATTTAAACCAACCCCCATACGGTTTAAATTATCATTAACGTCTGAACAATTAACGTCAACATCGACCCATTATGTCACAATTAACCTTTGTGCAATATTCATAATGCTCGGATTAACAGCCCCCAGTTGCTAAAGCTTGGCTAATTACGGCGCGATTAGCAGTTAATTAGTTTATTTAATTAGGATTAGTTAAGCCGCAGCGTAACGTGCATGTTACAGTCTAACGTAACCATCTGCTGTTTGTGGTGATGCCAAATCTGGGAATAAAAAAAAACACAACCAGTGCCAGCTAGAGAACAAATCTACAGCCGTTAATGTTGTTTTGAATTGAAAGTGTTTCAGTGGAGTTTTAGATAACGTTTGTCGACTCTTCGCTCACGAGAGTCGTGATAATAAAGTTTGTCTGATGTGGGCTCAGGAGAGTCACAATAAAAAGATGTTAGTGCTTCAGGGAACTACTGAAGAATGTTTTGCTTATGAAATACAATCTGCTCTAACGTTTAGAGGCTAATCGTTTAAACATACACATACGTGTATGGAAGGATAATTTTATATATACAAACATATGAGCCAGATTTTCATATCTACCAAGAAACATAAATGTTTTGCACATCGCTATTAAGTAAAAATGTCGGGTTTCGCATTTGTGTATTTGGCATTCTACATCAAACAAATAGCTCACAAAGCAAACGATGTTTATTTCTAAAGGGAATTGTTTATTGGTGTCTGCGCAAGACAGGAAATTACATGGTTGGGGTGGGGGGGGGGGGGTCCAGATAGAAGGATTGGATAGAATTATCCAGCATGTCGACGGACGTAATTTCTATGTAAGGGAGGGTTAACGGACATGACTGGTGTAATAACAGGTTTTGAATAAATTTTTTGGGTTTGTGTAGGGTTAATGATATAGTGATATTATGTAGAAGTGTTCTAGTTCTGGGGGGATGATATAGCAATGTTGTGGCTGTGTGTGGGGTGATATAGCAATGTGGTGGCTGTGTGTGGGAGGTGATACAGCTATGTTGTGGCTGTGTGCGGGTGATATAGCAATGTTGTGGCTGTGTGTGGGGGTGATATAGCAATGTTGTGGCTGTGTGTGGGGTGATATAGCAATGTTGTGGCTGTGTGTGGGGGTGATATAGCAATGTGGCTGTGTGTGGGGGTGATATAGCAATGTTTTGGCTGTGTGTGGGGGTGATATAGCAATGTTGTGGCTGTGTGTGGGGGTGATATAGCAATGTTGAGGCTGTGTGTGAGTGGGGGGGGGGGGGTGATATAGCAATGTTGTGGCTGTGTGTGGGGGTGATATAGCAATGTGGCTGTGTGTGGGGGTGATATAGCAATGTTGTGGCTGTGTGTGGGGGTGATATAGCAATGTTGTGGCTGTGTGTGGGGGTGATATAGCAATGTTGTGGCTGTGTGTGAGTGGGGGG